CCTCCACTCCCCTCCACTCCCTTCCACTCCCTCCACTCCCTCCACTCCCTCCACTCCCTCCACTCACTCCACTCACTCACGGAGGAGCTGCGGAGCCCTCTGGAGGAGCTGCGGCGCGCGTGGGCGCCGCTGGCCCGCGGCTGCCTTTCTCGTGGCAGGTGCAGTACTCTGCCTCCTGGCTGCTTTTCGCCTGGCAGGCGCAGTGCACAGAGCCTCCTGGAGGAGCTGCAGCGCGCGTGGCCGCCGCTGGGCCGCGGCTGCCTTTCGCGTGGCAGGTCCAGTACACAGAGCTTCTTGGCTGCGTTTCGCGTGGCAGGCGCAGTACACATGAGCGCTTGGAGGAGCTGCAGCTGCGGCGCGCATGGCCGTCGCTGGGCCGCGGCTGCCTTTCTCGTGGCAGGTGCAGTACACAGAGCTTCCTGGCTGCGTTTCGCGTGGCAGGCGCAGTACACAGAGCCTCCTGGAGGAGCTGCGGCGCGCGTGGCCGCCGCTGGGCCGCGGCCGCCTTTCTCGTGGCAGGCGCAGTACATAGAGCTTCCTGGCTGCGTTTCGCGTGGCAGGCGCAGTGCATAGAGCTTCCTGGCTGCGTTTCGCGTGGCAGGCGCAGTACACAGAGCCTCCTGGAGGAGCTGCGGCGCACGTGGCTGCCGCTGGGCCGCGGCTGCCTTTCTCGCGGCATGTGCAGTACACAGCAGAAACAGCTCCACTTCTCACACCTCACTCATCACAACTCCACTGCTCATCACAACTCATAACACCTCCACTTCTCACGGGTCCACTTCTCATCACTACTCATCGCAACTTATCACATCCCAACCCATCACAGCCCCACTTGTCACACCTCACTCACCACAGCTCCACTACTCATCACAACTCATCACAGCTCCACTTCTGACATGTTCACTTCTCATCACAACTCATCACAACTCATCACAACTTATCACAACCCAACTCATGACAGCTCCACTTCTCACACACACCTTACTTATCACATCACAACTTCTTATCACAACTCATCACAACTTATCACACCCCAACTCATCACAGCTCCACTTCTCACACCCCTTCTCACACCTCACTTATCACATCCGAACTCATCACACCTCCACTTCTCACGCCTGACATCACAAGTCCACTTCTCACACCTCACTTCTCACACCTCCCCGAAGTTTACATTAACCTTAGATACATAAGGCTTGACATGTGGGGTTATCCGGTCCTTTTATTCCCTATCTATTTCCTAGTTTTTTTTCCTATTTATTTCCCGTTTTTATTCCCCTATTTATTCCCCTATTCATTTCCCTATTTATTACCCTCTTTATCCCCCTATTTATTTCCCTATTTATTTCCCTTTTATATTTCCCGTTTTTATTCTCCTATTTATTTCCCGTATTTATTTCTCATTTATTCCCCTATTCATTTTTCATTTATTTCCCTGTTTATTTCCCTCTTTATTTCTCCTTTTATTTCTCTTTTTATATCGCTATTTTCTTTCTCTATTTCTTTCCCTTTTTTTTATTTCCCTATTTATTTCCTTGTTTATTTCCCTATTTATTTCCCCATTTGTTTCCTCATTTATTCCCGTATTTATTACCCAATTTATTTCTCCATTTATTTCCTCATTTATTCCCGTATTTATTCTCCTTTTTATTTCCCTATTTATTTCCCTATGTATTTCCCTATTTATTTCCCGTTTTTATTCCCCTATTTATTTCTCTATTTATTTCCCCATTTATTTCCCTATTTATTTCCCTATTTATTCACCTATTTATTTACCTATTTATGTCCCTCTTTATTTCCCAATTTATTTCCCTATATATTTCCCTATTTATTTCCCTAGTTATTTCCCTATTTTTTTCTCATTAATTTCCCTATTAATTTCCCTATTCATTTCCCTATTTATTACCCTTTTTATCCCCTTATTTATTCCCCTATTTATTTCCCTATTTATTCCCCGATTTATTTCCCCATGTATTTCCCTATTTATTTCCCTGTTTATTTCCTTATTTTTTTCCGTATTTATTTTCCTATTTATTAATGTTTTTTGAATTCTTTGGATTTCCATGGGATTCCATAGCTTCCATTGATTTCTACGGGTTTTTTTTTTGAGTTCTCTGAGATTCATTGGAGGTCTATAGTTTCCATTCATTTCTATCGATTTACCTTAAATTCCTTCGTTTTCTACGGTTTTTGTACCTTCCATTGATTTTTATGGATTTCTATTGAATTCATGCGAGGTTAAAAGGCAAACGTCCCAAATCATTCCAGTTTTAAAGGTAAAATTTTCAATTCATTCCTGTGGATGGAAGGATTAATTTTCCTATACTTGCTGTAACCCGTCATACGATGACAGAAACGAAAAATAATTCCGACTCTGCAATATCGATTGCCAGCGATACGTGATTTGTTTTGCAATTATCAAGTTGGCATCAAGGTTGAATTGGTGTTGAATCGAGATAGATTATGGAATTTGTTCTTTTGAGTTACCATTTGAGTAAAGTCCCACCAAATGATTGAGTTGATTTTGAGTTGATTTTGAGTAAATGTCCGTTTTTTCTCTAAAAATGATTCGGTTGAATTTGAGTGAATTTGAGGTTGCGCTGAGTGAAATTGAGTAAGATTTGAGGTTTCAAGAAACATCTCAAAATCTACTCAAATCATACTCAAACCATTAAAAAACAATAGATTGAGGTGATTTTGAGTAAGAACCCTTACATCAACCGGAACTCAAACATAAAAATACCTCAACCATACCTCAAAAAAACCAACTTCATTTGAGCCTCAGCTGAGGCTCAGCTGATGCTCAGCTGAGGCTCAACTGATACTCAACTGATACTCAAACGTATATCACTAACTCAACGGTACCTCGCACCTCAACCGTACCTCAAAACCATTTTCTCAACAGTTGCCTACGGCCAATTCCTCCCTAGGCCTTGATATCGACACATGATGGGAATCCGTAGGACCCCGTGGTTTCGATGTCAGGTCTCTTGCCTTTGGCCCCTCCTGCCGGATGAAACGGACGCAACCTGTCCGGACAAGAACATCAAAGAGTTCCTTGGTGAAAATGATGTTACAATGCACACATAGGCCATATATGATTATAAACACACATATGTACATATACGTATATAGATATAGATATAGATGTGCGATTTAGCAAATTTTCTGAGACCTCATCTGAGTTTCTCGAGAGATCAAGTCAGACCTGTTTTTGTCTGGAAGTTGACTCTTTACCCCCTGCCTAACTTAAGATGATTTTCTTACGCAAAAAATGATTTTCCAGTTAAACATGTTTTTACCTAGTTAAACATGTTCTTAAATTAAAGGTTATCCTATTTTTCAAGGTTCATTTCACGGCTATGTTCTATTTTCAAAAAAAGGCAGAGCGAAGAATCAAAAATACGAAAACATGGAAACATAATTCTTGGGCTCAAGGCTTTGTACTAGAGGGAAACACAGCTACCTAAGCATGTGACAAGTTCTTACGCCCTAAAACACATCTAGTCTAGGCCATCTTGAAAAAAAATTCAATAACGATATTCTTGTTAGACTAAACATATATCACATGATCTCTTGTGTTGGGGGTCAACAAAAGACTTTGTGCCCCTTCAATATCACGTTGCAGATACTCCAATTTTTGTGGGTTCCTTTGCCCATTTTGACTTGGCAGGTGGTTTCAAACCATTGTAAGCATGTTCCACCCTAGTTGGGATGATGAACCACACAATTACTGACATATTTTGCATGGGTAATCCAACAATTTTCCATGTTTTGTGTTTAAACTCTGCCTGTCTGAGGAAGCGCATGGTGGACTGGAGACGGCCTGACTGCGTCATGAACTCGGGCCTGTCCGACCGGCTTACAGCACAATCGAAGCCGACATCGGCTGTCTTGAGGTCTTGGGGCAATGCGTTGACCCCAATCCCTTACCAGAAGGGATGGAGAAGTTGGGCCCTGAGATTTTTGACATCGCGCGTCCAGTGGCAGTTGTTCTGAGAAAAAAATGATTCATTGAAAAACGGGAAAATTCAGTATATATTAGTCATGTATACATCATGTATTAGTCATTTTTCGGAACCTCACCAGATGCGTCTGTTCCATCACATTCCATCACCGGGAAAAATCGGCCAGGACCTGGGAAGGCTATCGTTGCGCCCTGGGCTACGCTGGCGAAATCCGTTTCCAATGCATCACCAGCCCGGTGAGGGAAGGCTGCGGCACCAAGGCAGTGCCCGGAGGCGATGGCGGGAGTTGCGGTGCATCAGATGTGTTGTCTCAGATGTTTTGACCAGCCAGACATGAGGGTTTTAATTGGGTAAAATGTGATTTTACATCTAAACCTGTTTTAACCAACCAAAAATCCGGGGGTGAAATTTGAAAATATTGGCAAAGATGATTAGATTGGCAAAGTTGTGTCAATAAAACGGAAAAAAATGATTTCAGCAATTTGTTGACCTTTGGGGTATCACTTGGAAACCCACAGGCTGCAAAAAGATGCAATCCTGCAGTGCAGCTCGGCACAATTCTCCACAATTTGAGTCTTTGGGATTGGGCATCAAATGATGCACCTTGCCACTTTTCATCATTCAACCAAACATTCCTCAGGAAAACTGGAAAATCACCAACTATCATCCCTACCTGGCAGATCTCCAAGGCTCCCTTGGCGGATCCTTGTAGTCACGATGTCTCGGAATGTGCCAACGTGCCTTGGATGCCGTGTGGATTTCATCTGTTGCATAGTCATAGGTATTGCGCCACAACAAAGTGGCCAAATGGCCGGTTTCAGGTGATGTGTTCTAAACATTATTCATGTTTGTCCAGCTTGTATATATGCGAATGTTGATTATGGTGATGATGTGGTAGTTGTCATTTACTGATGATTAGTTGTTTATATTATCGATGGTGGTTGCGAAAGAATATTTTGGCTCAGTTCTTCTGAAAGATATTGAATGGATTTGAATGGATTATTTCCCAATACATCAACAACATCTTTATCATGACTGATTGAAACACGTTGAAACTGCCCATGCCTGGCCAGCTTAGGTGCCCACAGGAGGCAGCTGTGTGGCATCTCGTCAACTTTTTTGAGCATCATTTGATGGGGAACCGATCGAAATTCAACTGGGAAAATTGGTTTTGATTGAGAAAAATGGGAAATTTCAATGGGAAAATTGATTTCCCTTCATTTCATGGGAAATTCTGTTGGATTTTCCATGGATTTTCCCCAGAACCTCAGCCACCAGACACGGCAGTTGTGTTTCGTTACTGAGATTCGATGCAAATTTCGTTTCTCGGGCTTCAGCACCATTGCAAGGCGCGCCGAGTCATATGGAGTCATATGGAGTCATTGAGTCTCCCCCAACATCTAAGGAGCTTGGTGACCTTGGTGCTTCGGTTGGCTATTTCTTAGCATTTCTGAGCATATCTGAACCCTTCGAGGTGTTTTTGTTGGCCGTATCGGAGTATCGAGATGGATGCAACCATTTCATATCATTTCATACCATTTCGACTTATCTTTTCAACATTTCACCACTTTCATCACCATCCATAATCATAACCATGGCCATAATCATCCATAACTTCTCCCATTTTCAGCACCTTTTCACTCTCGCTGCCAGTTGCCCCATGGACAACACCATCGAGAACCGGCCGGTGGACTGGACGCCGCAGATCTGTCTCTCTTCAGCCTGTCCCATTCCACGCGTGATGCCGGAAGGATACGTCGGACACTCAGAAGCGACATGGAACATCCTGGAATGTCCTGGAAACGAATGGATTGTCCACACCATGATTTTTGGTGAGTCTTTGTGCTGTTTTACAATGTTTTACCTGCATATATCTGCATCTATTTAAACAACAAAAATACGTTGAAACGTAGAGATTCCTTGACTTGATTTCTGGCCGAAGATGGGCCGAGGCGATTGCCCGGGATGGCAGCTTCACCTGTGCCCGTGGTTATGTCCGGCACCAGGCGCAGCACATCACTGGGGGAAGCTATGGATGTAGCTCGATAGCTGGATAGAATCTGATAGAATCTGGTGATTAATTATTTGGATTATGTTCAGAAGCAAATCTTATTTGGTGATGATCGTTACTGGTTGATGTGTAGAGTGGTAGCTTGCCCCAGCTACCCTACTTTAAAGGCAGTCTTTAGGAACAGAAAGTGTCAACGGACTGACACAGGGGTGTCTGCAAAGTGGATGATGCAATGGTTAAAGCGACCTCTTCAAATAAAAAAAACATCGCTTTCAGAATTTCAACAACCAAGAATCAGCCACCTCAACTTTCGAATCTTCATTCTCATTCATCTTCATCCTCATCTATACTTTATCTCCGACTTTATCCAAAAAAAAACATATTTCCTATAGCAACTTGAAGCCTATTTCAGTAGGATTTGACCCTTCCATCCCGTGTTTTTTCCATTCACCATCCCGCAGATGGGCGTGGTCAGCACCTCCTGTAGCCACGATCTCAACAACGACTGCGCGGCCAACGACTTGAGCTTCGAAGGGTGCGGTTTTTCTGCGGATTTCTCGGAGATCTTTGATGGTTAGAGAAATATTAGTGTAAAAGGTTCATCTGATTCAGGGCACAAATCTTCATCTCAAAAAAAATGGGATCAAATATTATTTCACCATAAATGTTCTCCATAAATGGATCAATATCCACCTTTGTTCATCATAAATATATATTCTCAAGCGACTCAAGCCCACTTTTTCAGCTGCAGGTGTGTACCAAGCCGCAACTGCAACCGATGTTTGGATCCAGATCCACTTCCACCGGGCTATGCCACTGGGTCTCACCACGGGGGGTTGGAGATGTCTTTGGAAATGTTAGTAAAAGTCCTGGAAAATTGGGTGAAATTGGATGGAATTGGATGATATTCGATATTTGATGTTTGATGATGTTTGGTTTCTTCTGGTTTCTTGGGGACTCTGATTGTTTTCGTGTTTGGCGCGGTGTTTGGAAAGTCGTTTTCTGCAGTGGAAGTGATCATAAGTATCTGCGGGCATCGTGTGAAGCATGGATGGTTCTATGCAGCAGTTCCCTTTGAACCCTTTGAACCCTGGATGCTCTTTTTGCTGAATTCATCTTATTGATTTCAAAAAAGTTGGAATATTCCCATTTCGCCTCAGTTTGCAAGATTGGTACCGGAAGACAGCATCTCAAATTCTACAGAGAGCCTTTCGATCTTTCGCGTCCATCTTTCCAAAGCAAACATAAGAGTTTTCTCATTCGTTTGATCAGTTTTTTCGAATTTCCGAAAAACCTCCCAAAAAGATGTGACTTCCATAGATCTCAACTGTTCCATTTCCAAGGTCTGGGACCAAAGCAGCTCCACCTGGCACTGCGATGTGGGCTATCGCGGCATCGTGGCGGAACGCTGCGACAGCTGCACCAAACCTGCAACTTGGCGCTGTGGGTCCAACACTGTGGCTTTAAGAGTCAAAATGGTGGTAAAACCATGGTAAAACCCCGAACTCCCAAGGATGTTTAAAAAGTTCAGAACATAAAAACCTAATGTTTCTTATTGGAATAGCCATAGATTGGGTGTATAGCCCATTTTCGGACAAAGCGATGTCACTGAATAGGAGTCAAGCTGAACACGAGTGAACAGTTGGGTCAACAAGTTTTTGTTTTGCCAGATCTCAGACAGGACATGCTGATCATGCTGGGTCGCCATGGAAAGATCATGGAAAACTCATGGATGATCCACCAATGTCCGAGGTGATCCTGGGTGGCTGCGTTCCATTGACGCCCTGTTTGCCACCACAGGTGCAGCCCTGTCTTAGGAGAGCTGTGCCAAAGAAATCTGGAAACCTGGACCAGGTGGAGCGGTGTATGTTTGATGTTGGGGCCTTACAAGATGGCAACAGATGGCTGAAAGACATACCATGGCATACCATGGCCTACTTCCTCATTTATTCATTTCAACACAGAGTTTCTTGAGTCATATCATGTCATATCTCAGATCTTAGATGAAGCCAGCCTCAAGGTAGTCTCATTGCCTCATGACTAAGGTACTGGACTGTTGGAACCTTTCCGCTGGCGCAGAGTGCCAGGTAGGGACCCTCCGTTGATCTCCGCGGCGCCGGATCCATAGCCTTTCCCCATCCGTTTCCCATCTCCCATCCGGGTCCAGGTCTACGTGCGGAGGCCCTTTGTTGGGAACAACACCGTGGCGCGTCGCTGTCTCAATGGGACGACCGATGTTGGTACAAACCAAAGTCGGCCAAGACTTGGGGCTAAATTTTCCTGACTCTGACACTATTCCATACTATTCCCACATCATGGCAGATATCCCAAAAAACATCAACCCATCAACAAGTGACCAGCCGCTGGACATTGAGGTTGCCCTCCCAGCAACACGGACTTTGCACAAGAAGCCCTTTGGGACGGTTCCGTGGACAACGCCACCTGTCAGGGCCTTGTGATGTCATGTGATGTCAGCTGTGGGAAGCTGAGTTGCTGTGATTTTGGATGTTTTTCAGGTCCAGATCCGATTCCGCCAGATGGATATGTCAAGGTGAATGGGTTCTCACCTCAAGGGGGGATGACAAAAGCAGCAATTCACGGATTTCACAGATTTCTCATCACCTTTCCCTCAAAAAAACGGTCGTATCTGCCAGATTTCTTTGCCAATTTGGCCAAGAGTTGACAGATTCCCCACAATTACCCACAAATTACAGCCAAACTATACCGAAATCAGTGGATTTCAGCCATTTGTCCCATGTTTTTCTGCGATGTTTTCACGAAAACCGAGGGAATGGACCTGCAACGTGGCCACGCATCGTGGAACGGCGGAGCTCCGCTGTCAAGCACTGGACAGGCCATGGGGGATTGTGAAAAATGGGTACTCGTCGATTTTGTGGAATTCCAATGGATATTTGAATATGATGGATTTCCAAAGATTTTCATATCCAAAATGGAGCACGGATGATTACGGCCGCACACTTTGAGTATACTTATATAGATCTTATAGTTGATTGTGCCCAGAGTGTTTTGGGATGAGTTGATCGGAAAAATCATTGGAACTGGATATCACCAATAAAATCACTGACTCAGTTGACCACGGAATGATTGGATGCCAAAGGTGCTTGCGTGAGCCTGAGTTGGTGGGCTGCCATGAGCTTAGTGCAGCAGATCCCACAGATCCCAGAAATCCTCGATCCATGCGGTCCATGTGGACCATGGGTTATCTCCGAGGTCGGAGATTGCAGCAGTGTGTTGCACCAGATCTGCCCGATCCCTGTGCCGTGGAATCGGGTCTGGATCTGAGAAGATTCGGAACGACTTCAGGGTCAGCGAAATGGTTGTTTCGAGGCTGTCAGGGAACCCTACCAGGAGAGTTCCGTGCTCAGAGAAAACAGCATGGTTTCATTATGCACGTATAGCTAGTATGGTTCATTCACTGGTTATCAAATATCATCAAGAATCATCAAAGATGGCAACAAATAGTGGATGATAATATCATCCGTATCATCAAAGTTCATCCAAAGATCAATGGTATTTGGATCCAATTAGGATACCCATTGATACACCCCATCTTTGGAACTCAGGGATTGCAATGTGACCTGCCGAGAGCCTTACGCCCGGGCCACTCAGATGTGTTCCAGAGGTCAAAACAAGGGTTTCTGTCTTGTGCCGGAAAAAAAGGCGTCAAAAGAAACAAGACAGAAACACTGTTGTTTGATTGTTTTTGTGTGTTTAGATGTGATTAGTGTGTTGATGTCAACACAGAATAGAAAGCAGAACCGAAAGCTTGTCGCATCAGCCACTGTCGTTTTTGTTCTGAGGTGGGTGACTATGTGGTGGCAAGTCATTGACCCCAGCTCCGATTTCTGGTCGCATTGTCCCCAGGATCGATGGATTCCCGAGGTTGTGATGCGGACAACATCCGACCAAACGCCAAGGTGGAGGTCGGACGAAACCTGAATGATAAAAAATGTATCTCTTGAATTCTCTTATGACATGATTTTCTGATGGATTCTTTCAAGATCTTTCAAGATCTTTCAGTCTGGATGATTATCAGATGATTCCAAGGTGATCCAGTTTTGTTCGCAGGTGGATTCGTTCCCCCAATGCACTCTGCGCTGCCATGAGCCCAGGGAAACCCTAGCGGTTCTGGCCCCTGCCACGTGATGAACATCTGAGGTCCAGACCCAGCAGTGACTCCGGAGGGCTATGCCAAGGCCAAAATCATCCATGAATGGCTCGGGTGTCTGGAGAAGCTGCGGTTGCGGCAGGTGAATGGAGAATGGCAATGCGCGGAAGGCTTTGGAGGCTGCGATTTGGAGATGTCCTGGTAGCTGGTAGCCTTTTTTCCAGGTGGATAATGTGAATATGGATCAGAAAAGTGGGGGATATACCCAGTATTTGTCCATAAAATGGGAATGTGATGAAAAATGATGGGATTTTGTGTCATGTTGCATCGCTATAGGCTGAAAGATTTTGACGCGTTGATGTTGTGTGCCATCTTGGAAGATGGACATCCGGGCAACTCAGTGTGATGTGAAGCACCTGGGAGGAATTCCGGCCATCTCCTGTGTTCGTACCAGCACCTTGACTCCAAACCGTTGTGATTGGTGTGCCATTCAGTCGTTTGTTTCTTCTGATGTCCATGTCAAGCTTGGTGGGAAACACTTTGATGAAAACATCAAGACATATCAAGATGATTGGACATGGCCAGTATTTCGGGATGCCATGGGACATGTAATTCGTGCTGAGGTAGCGAAAACCGTTCGGATTGTCGATTGAACATCACCATGAGTGGATGTTTGCCACTGGTATCGTGGGGAACTTAGAGGCAGAATTGCCAAAAAAGGACAGGAAATTATCAGATTCAAGACTAAGTGGACAGGGATTTCTTGAGTAATCATCAGTAATCTATTGCCATTTCATTAACGATAATACGTAATCAAGTAAGTGACTGTCAATCAACATTAATGGATATTCATGATAATCATCATCAATCATCAGAAATTTATTGCCGATTTTCTCATGATCATCAGTAATCCATGAGAATGTGATGTTCCCAGTTGAATCTGTTCATCGATTTCGCTTCAGGTGTGCGCGACCCGTGGTGGACTCATGTTCCACTTACATCCCAGTCACTTGGTCAACCGATGGATGGGTTTGGGTGTGGTGGATTGACCATGGTTTACCAACATCTCAACAATTTACCAACTAAAATGTGGATGAAATGGTGATTTCCCATGATTTATCAACATGTCATCAATATGTCAACATTTGTAAAACACAGATGCCAAAGAATTTAAGTTCCAAGTTTCGGGCACCGTGGACACTGCCAGGAGGAATGCAACTTCACGGCGGGTTCCTCCTGTTGGGTCTTCTGCGTGCTGCTGGCGTTTTTAGTGCCAGTAGGAGGTTTACCAAATGAGGATATCAGCCTACTGGGGTGGTCTTACTGGGATGTTCGCCAAGTTGATGCCATCGGCTTCCAAGCCTTGAGCCAGGGCGAACACTTCCGCATGCAGCAGAAGGCCAGCTTTCCGCAGATCGATTGGGAAGAAGATCTGAATCTCAGCATCATTCCAGCGCCTTGGCAAAAACAGGCTGTTTTTGTTCCTGGTGATTTGGTGGTTGAGCAGGGGGGTAAGCTGCCATATGTACAAATCATAGATGACATGATGATGTGGTATACTATGGTATACTACAGATGTTTCTTTTTCAAGACTGGCCCACCAACTCCTAAAAAGACACTACGGGGTATCTACAGGATGTCATTGGAGTTGGGACCAAACATCATCCTGCTGCTGTTCTGAGGAGTGGTTCAGTTATGGAGAGATTGTGCCATACGCCATCGCTGTATGTCCTGCCAGTTGGGAAAGCCCAGTTGCCACAGAAACATGGCTGACATTGACATGTTATGGTTTCTGGATTTTGAATGATTTTGGATGATGTTCACATGCAATTTCCCAGACATCTCCAAAACAATTCATCATTTACGGATGCATTTCTGATCGGCTGTTGCTCAGATAACACTGCGCCCAATGCCATCCCACTCTGGAGCCCGGAAACCCAGAAGATCTGCTAAAGATCTGAGGCTAACCGCCGAACCATTGATGAAATTTGAGGAATCCACCGGGGAAAAAAATGTCTGATTTGGTCTAATTTTTTCCGAGATTCTGAGATTCGCCGAACATGATCCACGACATTTGAGGCCCTGCTCCAAGATGTGTCTTGGATTGCCCCTATCCCAGCTATGTTCCACCAGGCGCCATGATGGATGTTACAATTCTTGGATTTTGTTGCACTGGCCAGTCATCAAAGATGCGTTTTGCAGTGAAGCCTGGAAACCAGACCTTCTGTCTGGGGAAGAACTGGGGAAGATCCTGGTGGCAGGTTACAGGGAAAGGCAGCGCTTCAACCGATGGCGCTGCGACGAGGGCTACGTGGGGATCACAGATCGACAGCTTTTTACAGCATGGGTTTTGGATTGCAATCTGTCATCTAAAGCAGTGCAATTTTTTCAGTGGAATTAATGCCATCAATTAGATTGCTGGTGGAATTTCAGAACTAATATTCCAATGTTTCTTGGTTTCAGAACTAAGTGCCGTTTTTTTTCACTGTAATCTCCATGTTTCTTGGTTTCCTCGGGTCACCGATTTCTTCCCAAGCTCCGCGCCAAGACCGGCACTGCCATCTTGGATTGCACTTTGTGGGAGAACTGCGTGTGAATCCCGTTTTGGATGGCTGTGGGATGGCTGTGGGATCCAGGGATCCAGGGTTCACGATGGATTCACAGATGAGGTTATTAGATGACATTCATTGTTGAACATTGTTTCTAGATGAGTGACATTTGTGACCAATGGATATAGATGACATGATGTCGAAAACCATGGAAGAAGCCATAGAATCAATATCAACAGATAATAACATATATCAACCATGATGAATTGATGATTTTTACCATCCATTCACCATCTGTTCACCATCCATCTCGACATCCGCCGAGTCTGTGACCTCCTGGTTGTCCGGCTGCGATGAGCTGGTGCCATGCGTCCGGCCCCAAGATTTGCGGTTTGAATCATTCGGACATTTCATGGACATACTGACATACTATAGATTTATATGATTTATATGTTCAGAAATGATAGATGAAATTATATGAACATTGATTTTCAGATAAATGATACAGCATTTCCATATATTTCCATATATTGCCACAGATTTTCCATGTTTTTTCCATTTCTTCACTGGAGATGCAGCGATTTCTCGAGGCGCTTCCGGCGGTCGAGGATCCCTGCGTTTACGACTTCGAGTCCTTCAACTGTAGCAGCAGCTCGGCTTAAAACTGAGAAATCATGAGCATATCCAATAGTTATAGTGTGTTAATGTGTTAATGTGTGTTATAGTTTTGGAAATTATAGAAATTCCATGAAATTCCACTTATCCAACAATTATTTCTATGCATATCCAGCAATTATTTCTATGAGAATCATTGGAATTTCATGAGAAATTTGGTTCCGATCCGCTCATTGGAGGTTTCTGGGAGAATCATCTGGTAGAGTGAGGATCTCCTCATGGTACAATGGGACAGGGGGTATACTACTGGGATATCCAATCCTGCTGTGATAAGATGATGTTGGTATTGGATCTCAATAGTATTAGTATATTCCAAGATATTTCACGGAAATGTAATGGGATATAATGGGGTATAGCGGGGATATAAACCCAAACACAATAATCTTTTCAAGTGGACCCCAACCGCTGGCCATATCGTGTAGTAATTTCATGTCTTGGACATCACTTTCAAGTTTCCATGTTGAGATTTAAGGTGTGCACTGTGTCAACAAGAATGCCGATCTAACCATCATTAAACGGGGATGTGTTGATGTATTGTTGTGTAACCAAAATCTAAGGGCTCTTTTGTATAATTTGTTCATTTTCCCAAGCATAAACTTGGATGATCCTCCAATAGATGAAAACTACCGGCAATGTTCGAGGTGTCATGGGAGGAGAGACATGCGAGGTGAAGTGTAAGCTGTCGGCAACCCAGTGACGCACGCTGTGATGGTTTCTTTTGATGTTCCAAATGGGAAAAAATAGAAAAAATAGGTTGTTCAGCATTTTCACCGGTCAAATCTCAGCATTTTCCCATGTTTTCCCATGTTTTCCCAAGATCTCCGTGACGTTCGCAGGCCATACACCGCAGAGGGACCTGCCACTGCCACCGCAAGCTGTCCGGAGTTGAATATCGACCCACAGCAGGGACACCCAGTTGATCCCAATGTTGAGATTTTGAGGATCCACCATAATAGTTGGGATGGTTAATGATGGTTAATGATGGTTAATGATGGTTAATGGTGCTTGATGATGTTTGAATATGTTTGATGATGTTTGATGATGGTTGATGGTTGATGGAATGTTGATGAATATCAGGAGTTTACCATGGTAAAACATGGTGTACCCTGGTAAACATTGGAAGAGACCTGCTGCATGGTATCTCAGGCATCCCTTAGCTTGGCAGCCGCACATGTGCAACTACACTTGCAGTGATCCGGATCCCATCCCCGCAGGCGGGAAATCTGTCCCTTTGCTGATTTTCAAGGGGCAATTGGTCATTTTTCATCCAATTTTCCCCAATCAGAAGTGTGTTTGATGGGTTTTCCAAGCCTTTTTTTTGTTGGAATTGTCCCATCCATTGTGACTTTTCTAGACTTTTCTCACCAAGCCTTGACCCCATTGCCCCGATTGCCCTGTCAGGATATCTGAAATCCACCGCAGCCCAGATCAGCATTGGAGTCCCGGAATGGATCTGTGCATCTGGCTACAGTGGGGAGGTGGCTCTTTTCTACCGAAAACCGCTAAGAGATGCTGTAGGTTTAGGGAAATACCTTGCGTGTAAAATAGAAAGACATGAAGAATGATAAGAATGTTTTAAAGTTATAGTGAAAACATATCCTGTTTGCCATCTTTGCTAGGTTTCCTCAACATATTTTGCCCTTCCATGAAGAAACATCGCAGGCAGTGGCCAGCTGTAACATCGATGAGAACTGCCTGGCGATCATCGCACTGTTCAGATCTCGGTTTCTGGTGATGTGTCTAAAAGCACCATCATTTCCTCCCCAAAACCAGTGGACTTTGGATAAATAAGCAACTTGTTGGCCACGGAAATGGCGAAATCCATTGAATCTCATCACAGGTGGAAGGTTGGCTGCACTGCAGGTCGGGATGTTTGCCCATCGTTCCCTGCGTGATGCCTGATGTGGACACCTGCGTACAACCGGCAGAGTCACATCCGGTTGGTGATGGAGAGACTGACTGGAAAGTAATTAAGACATATTAAGATTATAACCACCAAGAAGCAACTAATAAATAACTAAAACAAGAAAACTTGTTTGAAAGATAGTCTTGGTGAATGGTTTGAACACCCATTCAGTGGTCAAAAGAAAACAAACTAACCACTAACCACCATCAACCCCCATTAACTCCAACCCCCATAGATGTGGATTTCGTTTTAAGCCACCATTCACTGCTGTGTTCGCCAGATGTACGACTTGTCGGGCTGCACCGCGATGCTGCCGGGGCAGTTTTGCTTCGTGGGCTGTTTGGCGCCTTACGTCGGGGTCCCTGGAAAATCGGTGTCGGACGTTGACCCAAAGTTAAAGCTATATTGAGGAACATTAAATGTCATCATGAACACTCATCAAACTATAATGTAGTATGTAACATGTATAATATATAGTAGGTTCATATATATTGTCCAAAAATCCTCTAATAATACATGTTTCTATATTATTGTACCTCTGTTTTTTTTTGGGATCTCCAAGGCCCTGATTGGCGACAGCACCTTCGCATCCTGTTCGGCCACCAACACGGACCCTAACAAAGTCATGGAGTGGCACGGAATCCCAGGGAATTTTGTGAAACAGCAAAACTGTAACGCACACAGTGAAAACAATTGTACATATATTATTGTATCAACTATATACTTTTTCACATATCAATTGTACAGTAACTCAAGGCAGTTGGCTCAGCTTTGAGGTCTTTCACATGGCATCATTGGAATCGATAGGTTTTTATTTTATATTTTATATATATAATATATAAAGTACTAGGGAAACTTAAGTGCTTCACAGAACCTGGTTTGTGAAATTTAGCAATATGACTATAATGTAAATGATAAATTAAATGTATATCATGTTCAAGTCATGTTCAAGTCGTGTGTTTCTAACCGAAACAAACAACTATGAAAGATATGACTGCCGCTGACTGCCCAGAAATTTTGTAGTACACCATGTTGGGATTTGGTGGAGTTGATGTTGCGATGCCATGGCCGCCTGGCCCTCCAGCTCTAAAAGCACTTGGGCATTGATCCATGTTCCAAGCAATATAGTTGATAAATATGAAAGTCAGTTGGGATGATTATTCCCAATAGATGGAGAAAAGATGTTCCAAACAGTTGATTCCAAACATGTTCCAAATGTTCCATGCCACCACACGGTCGCTTAAATTCTTCCATTTTTTTCAATCATATTGTCAATGACCAATAGGACTTTTCATTTAAGCATCAGTCTTCCGGCCAAAGATATTACAACATATTGCAACATCATCAGTTTCTTTTTTGATGATGATTACAAAATTATTTTTAACAAAATGCCAAGCATCCTCAGTTTCCACGTCGCACTTTTACAGTTTCCATGTCGCTGATCCCGGCTGCGGCCCCCATTGGGCAGCTGCAGCTGCTGCCGTCATCGTCTCATGGAAATCCTCGGAATCGATCCACCGTGGTGACATGGAGACAACGTGCATCGGTGGCGCCGCTTGGCTGTGAAAACAATGGAAATCCAAAGTGGTAAAAACCACATTATTTTTTATCAATTTGATCAATTTCTATGGGAAACTGGACATGAATGTTGCAAACTCAGACCGTTTTTTCAGCGGTTTTTCCATTGCCGAGCCACTCTTTTCTTGTGCAAAGTTGTTCAACCTGCAGACTCTGCAACTGAGGTCTGCCGCAGCTGTGGGTTGCATTCTCAGGCGTTGGGAACGACGCAACGACTCAACAGTGCACTGCAAATGTCTGGTTTTCACAAAAGCCAAATTCTACTTTTTTATTTGTGGTAAATCACATCCAAGGTTACAAGCTTGGATGAAATATGATGAAATAGATATGATGAAATATGAGAACATCCAAAATAGCGACCACCAGACTGCGATTTCCGCAGGTGGCATCAACGGCGTGCTGCGCGGTGCCGTTGCGCAGCGCAGACGCCGACGGAGAAGACGCCGGTGCTGGCAGTGGACAGGATGGAAATGTGGAGAAACTGCCTTTTAGATGTTGGAAAATAACATGTGTCAGTGTCATGAAGTTTCATGTCAAAAATGTCAAAAAACCTTGAAATTCCAGGTTTGAAACCAAAAGAGTTAAACAAGAACTTGAACTTTCCAACCTTCCTCATCTTTCCTCAAGCTTCACCTGGTTCAATTTCTATCGCAGGCGCAGCTTGTGGCTAAGCGCCCTGGTCCCTACGGTCCCCACTGTGGCGCACGCCGAGATGTCACTGTCGACGCTGACGCCGGAAACCTTGCAGAACGCCAAGGGGAAGGCCGCGGTTGACACATCGATGAGTTGTTGGGAAACAATATGCAATCTTCCAGATGACTTTTACAAAAGATCGGGAAACTAGCATCATGAATTAATATATAAATATATAGATTTACATATATATTATATATTATATTATATATATATATTATACAGTATATCATAGATTTATCACCCGACCAGGTGGCCATCATCACGGGCGCCACCAGTGGTGTGGGTCTGGAAGCTGCACGAGTTCTGGCGGCCAATGGTGCTGCCACTTGGAAAAAACAGAGGAAGGGGTCAAAAACAGATCTTCAAAATTAAACATAGATTAATCCCTAGATATCTATATTTATATTATATATATATATATTATATCTCTAGATATCTCTAGGTTCAAGATGGTTTGACACCCTTGAATAAGGTTTGCCATGTCCATGGCTCGCTTTGAATGGATTGCTCAAACTTTCAAGGAACATTCTGCTGATGTACTGACATGGACTTAAGTCAATGGTGTAGGTTTGTCCAAAGATATACCCCATATATACCCCTAGATCCGTTGTTTAGTCATCACATGTCATCATTTTTTAAATAGCCACAGATCATGGTTGCGCCTTCCCTTGGGAGCTCAGGACGTCTATGTCACGGGCCGCACGCTGGAGAAAGCGAAGACTGCCGTGGCAGATGTCGCAACAACGGCCACTGGACAGGCTGCGCTTCATCCATTACAACGATGGAAAAATTGGGTAAACATTGGTTTAAAACTGTTTGAAAAATCAAAGTTGAAGTCTGACAATTAGTTGATAGCTTTCGGTACGAAGCTAAGCTTTTCCAGGAGATGGTTTCCATACTTTTCCAGGGCTAAGCAAATTTGGCCCTTGAAACCCGGAAGCCGCAGGTGGTTCCACTGGAACTGAACCTGGCTTCTTTGGCTTCGGTGCGCAGCTTCGCGGAACAGTGGACATCATCCATCAGGAGCCGCTTTCAGAGGGAAACGGTCGAAAAACCACAAGCCGTTGGGTTTTTGTAGGTGTTTACCATTGTTTACCATTGTTTATGGGGGGTTGACCCTGTTTGAAAAGTCAACAAATCGAAGTTCTGGGAGGGTTCTTTTGAAGCTGTGTTTGTTCAACGAAATTGAGACGAACAGGAACCAATAGGAACCAATAGGAACCATCTCCATGTTTTTTCCCCAAAGATTGGTGTCATTGGTGAAGTGCCAGGTGTTTTCCCAGTTTTCCCAGGAGGCCGGTGGACATTTTGGCGTGCAACGCTGGCTTGGCGCTGGGTCAAGATCAGACGGAGCCACAGTTCACGGAAGATGGCCAGGGCCTTAGAAAATGTGACCCAAAGACGTGGCCATGTTGGGCAGATGGGAAAATCATGGAAAGTTTGATGTTGAACCATGTTTTTTTTTCGGGAATTCCCATGGATTTCCTATAAAATTTCAGACAGGGCTACTGTATGTGGAGATGGTTTGTCCAGGAACGACATGAAACGGTCCTAATCTTCCCAGCATATAGTGGTTTTAATGGGGAAAAGTGTGATAAACCATGATAAACCCACTTGATTTGTTGTAAATGTGGCCCCAAGAAATGGTTCTGTTGATGGGAAAGCTTATGAGAAACCAGGCAGAGGCCCGATGGTCCCAAGGGGAGATGAAAATTCCGCTCCCAGCAACCTTTGAGACCTTTGTAGTTGAAGCACGAAAAAGACTGAAACTGCCGTAATATCTTAAGAATCTGTGATTCAACTGATATAATTCATCATAATTCTAGATAAAGTAAGTGAAAGCGGCCCAGTGTCAGCATGTTCCAAAACCCTTTGGATGGCAGATGCTTCAGATGCTAAGGCTTTGAAGTGACAGTTGGCACCAACCACCTGGGTCACTTTCTGCTGGTGAATTTGCAGCTTGGAAGCAGCCTAGCAACCTTTGGATCAAAGCTTTGGTGAAGTTGTTTGGTTAGGAGACCATGATATATAACAACATGTTATCAACAACTTCCACATGATTCATCCCATTCAAAGCCATTTCTACACTTATAAAAATCACTTAAATCATCAAAGATCTTCTTTCCCAACATCATCAACAGCAAACTCCACATCCCAACATCCCAAGGATGGAGCCCAGCTTATCCCCAACAGCTCGCGTGGTGGTTACGGCCTCCTCGGTGCATAACCCGGCCACCGGGGATCCGGGGAAGCAGGCGACCCTGGGCGTGGGGGCCCAGGTTTTCCATGTTTTTCCATGAATTTGACATGGAAAATCCATGGAAAATAGATGGACATGTGCCTCTGAGATGGCTTCCAAGTTGAAAATCGGAGATTTCAATGTGGTTTGGGGATGGTCTTTTGGTAAATTCCGATGAAATTCCGATGAACAAGAAAGGAACTCACTCTTGATACAAGATGTTGGAGGAATCATCCAAATGAAAGATGCTCGAATATCTTCATGTTGATCATGAAAAGATGATCCTTGAAACATTGTCGAATGGATGTTGATACCAACAGAACATCAGAAAACGATATGAATCCAAGCTCAGTATTTTTTTTTGCCATATCCAAGTGATTCATTATACCACTGGTATATCGTAACTATGAAACGCCAAGAATCCTCTGATTTCGGAGTTTTTTTTTCACATCGTCGTTCCTGAGGCGATTTGTCAGGCTTGGGCAAAGACAAAGTTGGAATGGTGGATGGATCCACCTTTGATGCGGGGAAAGCTTACAAAGGTGGGGACGGAAACTGTGGACTGGGCAAATGATGAAAATTGTTCACTGGAAAAATGAAACTGTTGGACAACTATTGATTGCGATTTTGCTGCTACGCATGTTCACAACATTGTTATATCTGTTCAGATTGAAGCAATCAATATCAATCCATTGAATCTATTATCACACCGCTGAACATGTTGTCACAACAATCTATTGAAGCTACAAATGTCTCTGTTCAACTTGTGACATCAATATCTCTGGTCATCGTTACATTTCTGCAGATTCCAAGCTCTGCAACGTGCTCTTCACCTTGGAGCTCGCTCGCCGCTTGCGCCCTGTCCGTTAAGTAATTTCGGCCGGAAAATGCTGGGATTTCGCCTAGTTTTGGGCATTGTTTTGAATGCGAAAATATGGAAAAATCATAGTGAAACCACGGCAACTTTGTTGATAGTGTTTCAATGTTTTGGAAAATACGAGTGAAATTGGAGATGGCCATACTTAGTCAGATACTTTGATCGTTTTCAAGTTTTCAATTCGTCAGAGCCGCTGGATTGTTATGCCAGTCACAACTCGTCGCCAGGAAGAAGAAGGGCTCGGCCATCACTGCGAACTGCTTTAGCCCAGGTCTGGATCCTAACAGCAGAGCAGATTTCTGCGAACAAACTCAGCTGATGACTTTTGATTAGGACGCTTGCTGTCCTGTTCACCGTTGGCAGGTTTGATCCCTTCCAGGACCTTTTTTCGCTACCAAAACCAGGTGGGATGCGTGGCAGTTGTGGCAGATATCCAGCTAACACTCCACTGTTTCCAGCAGGTCCGAATTTCGTCATCGATGTAGAAGTGCTTCATTCAAACATGATAAACGCATGGTTGCTGGTTCAATCCCATTCCGCACGCGTCAATGGCAAGATCTGGTATCATCCGGATCAAAACTTCTTAAATCAAACGGATCATGCGATCGTCTCAACAAGGCATGATTGATATGTGCCCCAGTGCTAAAAACCTCCATGGGAATCATTGCTATCATTACTATTAAATCTTCCTAAAGGATGATTGGTGATTACTGATAACATCAACTGAATCAACTATGATTTGCTTTGAAAAACTTTGAAAAGCGAAAAGCTCTGCCAGCGCAGACCTTCAGCTCCGTCTTCGCCTTTGCGGCGGAAAACGTGTTGAAGATCGCGGAGACGCCGCGCTTCGGCGGCGAAACTTTGGTCTTCATGGCGCTGGATGCAGGGCTGGGCGGCACCAGCGGGCGCTTCTTTTCGGTGCCACGGTGGCGATGGTGGAAGAACCCTGGGAAAACATTGGGAAAACGGGTCAGAAATGGTGGAAAACTGGAAAACATATGGTAGAATACATGAAAGCTAGTTGATGCTATAGTTGATGGTAGTTGATTTGGTTCTGATGAAAAGATGTGGTTGTTTCTGATGGTTGGTGGCGAAACCATCTGTGGATCTCAGATCGTTCCAGATCGTTCCGACTGAGGCGATTCCTCCTGGAAAACATCAATTTCTGGAGGTCCAGAACTGCCAGTGTTGGGAGCTGTTGTATAACTAATTTATCTGAGTTATCTCTGAGAATCTGAGTTGTGCAGTTTCTGAGTTGCTGGAGTGAGGATTTTGGGATTTCAGATGTTCATTTTTGGAAGATCTGAAAGATGACCGGGTTTCTGGACATGTCTGTTTTTCTCACGTCTGCTGTCACACCAGTCACGCCAGTCACGCCAGTCACGCCATGGGTGAGTTTGAGCCTATGTCAATCTATGTCAATCTATGGTCAACCGCAGCTGCTTTCAAGCTTCAGCTTCGCAGCTTCCATGCAGCTTCCATGGGTCTCCTCGTTCTACGCTTCGTTCTACTTCTACGTCTTCCTGTTCGTTGCCGATGCTGTGGCCTCTAAAGTGCCGGTGACGGAGGAGGAGACCGCAGGCTTGCTGCAGCTCCAACCTGTCGAACCACTTGAAGCACTCGAAGCGCCAGTGGCTCAAACTTTTTACGGGCCAGCTGCAGCACCGGGCCAATTTTGGTATCCACCATTTTTGCCGCCTCAAACCCAGTTTGCTCAGTTGTCTCCTTCTTGGGAAAACAGGAGAGGAGATAGAGAAACCTGGACTGCGGGGCCTTATGGACAGTCAGAAATGAAGCTTCACAGATTTGCAGGCCAGGGCAGACGAGAAAAACAACATGTAAAAACATGTTGAAACATGTCGTTTCCTCGGATCAATCTTCACTGTTGCTCCAATTATGCACCATGAGTTAAAGTTAGCCTGTGTGGCAGATGTGAAATCTGTTGTAAGAGCGCAAAGTCTTCATGATTGGCATGATTCAGTCCTTCTCTGACCCACCATGATGAGAAATTTCCACAGAAAGCAGATAGTGGGGATTGGCAACTAAAGAATAGAAACAAGTCACTGCTGCGAGTCTTGCATCCATTTTTTGGGGGAGATGTTAGACGCAAGACACAGGCATCATCTACACGTGACATCACGTGACAACATGTGACAGCTGACAGGTGGAGGAGATTTGAGTCACGGAGACCATCCACTCACAGGTCCCTTGTTGACTCGCCCCGCACCGGTGCCAGCGCCGGCCATGGTTCCAGCCATGGTTCCAGCTGTTCCAGCGGTTCCAGCTGTTCCAGACAGCCCTAGCAGCCCTACCATTGCCACGGCTCCCGCCGTTCCCGTCGCCGCTCCTGCCGTTCCGTCGGTTCTGAGCAGCGGCCTGCGCACCGAGCGCCAGGAACGCTTCGCCGGCGGCGGAAGCACCGGCACCGCGGGCACCACCAGCACCGCTGCTGGAAGCGCTGCTGGAAGCGCTGCTGGAGCGGCTACCGCACGGGTGGATCCCAGAGAAGTCTTTGCCAATGGCGCTGCACGCTTCGCAGGGGGTGGGGCAGATGGTGGACTACATGGATTACATACACTCTCTCCGAATGGCTTCGCCGGTGGATCAAGCAGAGGTGCTAGTGATGGTAGTGGCTCTCTGGGCGTATTTCCAGGTGCGCTGCCAGGTGAGTCCGGCGGATCGGTTCCAATGTTTGGAGCTGGTTCCGCACTTCCGGGGTCTCGAAAGACTTGGGAGCCCCTTCCACCGAAGACTCTCTGGAGCGATCCGTTGCAAGGCACGTGGAGGGACCAACACGTCTTCGCCAGTGGTATGGAGACCAAGCCCAAAGCTGAAAACACGGCTGGAAACACGGCTGGCAACACTCCGAGTGGCAAAACGCCTGATGATGATGAGACCTATTCAGTGGATTGCGGAACCACAGTTTTCCAACCAAAAGATTGGCATTTCACCTTCCGACCACCCAACACTGGCGATTTCAACATTCCCATTGCGGTACACCAGAGCCCTCACCAAAAAAGTTATCAGATCGCCCGTATGGAAGTCTCTGTGAATGCGGACCTGGACAACTGGCAGCCTTTTCAGTTGCTGAGGGCTGGTTTCACATGTTTTCGATTTTTTTGAAAAGATGGGATGGTCATTTCCAATAGAATATCTAATATGTTCATATATGTTCTAATCTGTCTGATATGTCTCACTGCTGATATTTCGGGGCTCCAAGATTTTCAGTTTTTTTGACAAATGTCAGACTGTCAGGTTGCGTTTGATCGCCCCATCGCGCACCTCGATTCTGCTGAAGGAGTCGGGCACCTCGGAGTGCGCGGATCTCCGTTGCGAGTTTACGGGGCTCAACTCGTGCCACAGCTGCACCCGGCCCAAGGAACAGCTGTCGGCCTTCGTCGGGGAGTCCGCGTTGGGCACGTGGATGGTGGCCTTCGAAGACAAGGAAGGCCGCAAGCGAACTGGTTTGATGGCCTGGGCCGCGCTCAAAATCACTTGGAGCTGCGAACCACCCATCGCATCGTGAAAATATGAAAAATGCATCAGATATGTCAGATATGTCAACATGTGACAAAAATGTATATATGTGACAAAAATGTGATAAGAAGTCAATTAGAAGTCAATAGAAGTCACGTCACCAGGACGTCACAGCTTTGTCCAACTTTGTCGTCGATCCTTCGACTTTCGTGACCTGTAGACACATCCTGTTGGGTCAGACTGTCAGATTGTCAGATTGGGTCACGTTGAGCGATTTCTGTGGCACTATGTGGCGCTTGGGAAGTGACTATGACTATGCAAGTGGCTATGGAAGCATCACCATTTTGCAGTGGCCAGTGAAGGGTCACGAATTTGGTGGTGCACAGTGAGAGGAAGCTGTAGGAACTTTGTAGAAACTCTTTGTAGGAAGCTTGTAGATTCGTGTGCTGAGATGTTATGCGTCATCAGATTTGTACAATTTTGTACATCCACTTACTTTTCAGTTGTTTCTGTTGGAATCAGTGATGAGACTTTGCTATAAATCGAGATTTGAGAGAATGCGTGGAGAGATGCATAAGTGTAGGCTTCAAGCATCCCTCATGTTTTGAGAGAATAGGGCGGTAAAACCAAACCGTCAGCTGTTAGGCCTTAATCAGCTAGGTCTTAATTCATTGTAGATCTCGTTCGAATGACCGAGAACCCCCTCTACTATCACATAGCATCCACGTTTCCTGGGAAGGCCGCCAAGTTCAGAAACTAATCAACTTCCAAGAGCTTTTGCAGCATCGCTACATCAACTTCCAAAATGGTTTACAAAGATTTGGGTCAGCACATATCAGTGATATTCAGTGATCATATCGACAGAAAACCAATTTTAAAAAATCAGAGAGCCTTCCCACTTTGACACGACAAGTCGTGGATTTTGGACCAGTCCACCAAGAGACTGCCGAGAGCATGGCTCGTTGCCTTGGCGTTCATCGCTGAGGAGGGTGAAAGGCACAGAAAAAAAAAACTGCAGCCCTTCCGAGTTCTTCGGCCGCCTAACTTTGGACTTGATCAATTGGACATAATTGGAACAAGAACCATCATCAATAAATTCAATATCATTCAATTTCAATACAATTGTCACAATTTTTGATGTGTTTGTTTCCATGTTTGTTTCGTTTTGTTGCCACATTTTTTTGGGGGGGGCAGCATGGTTCACCATGTTTCACCACGGAAATCGCGAGGACACCCCCTCCGAAGAAGCGCGCAACGAGGATGAGGTCGTTGGATGGTGTCTGGCACGTCTTTCGGTCACCGGGAAGCGACGTCAAAATGAGGAAATCTTCAACAACCACATGTTGTGCACGTGCCAGAAATTGCCAGAAGTTAGATTATGTTAGATATTGTATATATATTATATATATATGTTGTATACCATAAATGTTTTAAGTTACCTAAGTTTCGAGAGATTAAGATTGTAAAGCGTCAATGGTTATTGTAACGATCCCATCCTCCGTTCATATTAAACAACGCACCTGAAACCATGGTTGAATAAGGGGCTTACATGAATTTACACAAATTTGGATACAATGGGGTGTTTAGTTTCGGGGGAATGGACAAGCTATAATTTGCGGGAATGCAGTCTAGGGTAACTGAGTTGCCACAATTGATTTCTTAACCGGATTTACATGGAAAACGCAGGTGGAAAATCAGGTATGATTTGTGGTGATACAAACGTAGGATACCATGATACACCTCTCTTTTCCTGCCTTTCCCAGCCACGTCAAATGCGGTGAAACGATTGGGAGGCAGCGGAACTTTGGAAGCGTTCGGCAGCGCTGGTAGGGCTCTGATGCGAATCGATTTCGGGGAGGAAAAGAGGCCGCGGCAGGTGTCGTTATTTTGATATGGGAAAATCAATGAAAATCATCTACAAACCGGTGAAAGATATTGGTGATACTGACCAACTTGATACATCTGTGTCTGAAAATGGGGCATATCCTGTAGGAATCTATGGGAACATGATGAAACAGTGGATTTGGAGCATATTTTCAGACGTTTCCAAGGACACCTCCAGTCTGTGACTGCCCTGGCCCTACCACGTTGCCTGCGGGCTATGACCGCTCAGTGTTCGGAGCTGAGTTGGTTTGAGATATTCTTGACTTGCTGTGATGATTTCATAGATATTGAAATAGATTGTGATTGTGAGATATGTCATAAATCTAAACTTCTATATATCATATCTTGGGAATTGTTTATATATATATATATATTCAGATTGGATATCTTATGGTGATTGATATTCAGATTGCATTGCATCCCTGTGAGGTCCAACAGTTTGACCAGCTACTCCTGCCGGATTTGCCCAGCTACGTGCCCGGCGTGCTCAATCCTATCCAAACTGGATTTTAAATGGACAAGTTGATGTGGAGCTGGTATCATTCATATTGGATATGGTTGTGGGAATTTGTACCATTCGTGCACCATGGTGCAAAATCCATATCTCTACATACGTCATCGAGAATTTGGGGTATGCCCTATTGTAAGGTAAACTTAGAAAATAGAATTAAGTACCATAAATTGGTCGGTACCCATTTTTTCCACATACGGGCTAACCCCAAGTTCAATGTGGCGCGATTTTCCGGTCCAAATTGGCGAACATCCCCACTTGCAAATTAACATGGATATAACTTATTGGAAAAAACTCCATGCACAAATCATTTTCCTTGGGAAACCCTTAGATTTCCACATTTATGTTAGTTGACCACAGGCTTCCCCTTAGTTTCCAGCCCCAGCTGTCCACCTTTTTAGGTCTCAGTGGTTACGTGGGTGAACCCGTGGTAAACTGCTCCATCATGGGCGAGAGCTGTTTCACTGAAGCCCAGTTCGGGGGGTTCGGCTGCCCAGCGATGGGGTGTTGCCAGCACAAAATCGACATGGATCAGAAACATCTGGATTTTGGATATTTTGGTGGAAAGGCCATGGTTGGTTTCCGTTGGTTTCCATGTTGAAAGCCAATTAATTCAGTTGATTCAGCCACGAAGCTGACAATCGCCTGAATCTGAGGTGTATCCCGACGATCGCCTGTGAAATTCCATCCTTGGACCCATGCAGAGTGGACTTCAGTGCCTGTGGGAGTGAGGTGGACTGCAGGGCGGCCAAAAATCCGGTTTCAAAATGGTGGGATATCCCAAGTTCTGGCGATTTCACTTGGGAAAAATGCTGAGGATCTATTGGAATAGGGTGCCCAAAAATGAAGATCAAGCCATTTTGGCATTGTTGTTCATTGAATATTCATGAATGTTGAATGGAATGATGTGGAATTCAAACAGGCTCAAGAGATCCTATGAATTCAACCATTCAAATCATTCAACATCTAATAGTTTATAAATTCTGTTTGGTTTGTTGAGAAAGGATCTTATAGTTGTAGAGTCATTCAGGCGTTTTAACCAAGTCGTATCCCACAATTGGCCGCATGTGTTGGTTCAGTCGCATCTTGTTGGTGGTTCACATATTCAACCCTATCTGGGACATTCTGGGACAACTTTTCCAACTGGTTTCCATCTTGTTTGGATTCTGCAACTACTAGTTACTAGCCGCTTGCAGAATTGGTTGAAGGGAAAGTTCACAGGAAATGCTGTAATTTATTCGATACAGAACATGATCGCGAACATGATTTCCTGTAAAATTTCCCACCAACCCAGCGAAGCTATGTCAGCTATGTGGCTTCCCGCAAGTCGTTTTTTGGTCTCAAGCGCAACATGACAAGCGCCGTGCCGAACATGGCAGAGATGAAGATGTATGCGAATCCTTCCATGGATTTTACGGAGCGGTTGGAGGCTCAACGGGAGATGTTCATGGTGGATCCCATGAAAAACCAGGGCTTTACCGGATACTCCATGAAACACCACCTCACCAAAAGAGTATGGATATCCCATGAGTCGCAATAGTGGGAAATAGATAAAAATAGATAAAAATCACTTTGACATCTCAAATTGCAGAAGCATTTGGGGATCAACAAATTGGGGCTTTGTATTGTCATTTGTCCCAATGTTCAGTGGAAGATGGGGATATTTTGTTTCACAACTATTGGGGTGAACCCAAGAACATGTTCAGGAACCACACCCCATTCACGCAATTCTGCCGTGTACGATTTTGATTTTTAATATATTGGGATTGAACTTATCCTTCTTAGATATGATAGATCCTACAGATTGTATTAACCTATAAGATACCCATATAAGAATTTACTTTATTCCTCACGCCAGCAGGGAGATGTGAAGAACGAGATTATGGAAGAACTGAGGGAGGCGAAGGCGGCTGATGGGCTGCTGTTTTTTGGCATCATGCTTTCATGGTTTGGGAATTTCAGGATATTTCAGGTACATAAATATGGACCATATGGATGTCAGTGGATATCTCCCTGTCAACATCATGTATGATGTTTATTGATGTTTGCTGTTAGTCAGAGGATTTTTTCCACTCTTGGCTTTGCGAGGGACAAAAGGTGGCTTAGGCCACCTTCCAGTAAGCCACCATCACAACTCGCATTCCTCGACAATACTGACCCTTATAGAAGCTATTAGTCATCTACAATAGATTCATCATCTATTACCAAGTGATATCCAAGTGATATGAATTATAACCATCTACCACTCAATAGTCTTAACCATTTAACATCAACCACTGGATTTTAGATATTAGCTGTTATTTACAACAAGTCAGTTCTTCAACCATTTATTCTCAACCATAACGATTAGTAAACATATTTGCCCTCTATTACCAAGATTAATCGTTGACATTTATGGATTTTTGTAGATCATCTATTCAGGAGATGTTCGATAAATTATAGAAAATTCAACATCATTATTCACACATAATGATATATAATAGATGATTATTCACCATCATTAACACCATTATATATCACATTAATTATAGAAAATTATCCATTAATTATATCTATAATCTATAATGATAGTGATATTACATCTATAACTATTCACCATCATTATTACCAAGTGATATTCACACAAGTCCCAGCCATGCAGCCAGGCAGCCGGCGCCTCCCCCGAGGCGAAGTCGACCATGAGCCGAATTTCCACCGAGGTGGGGAGCGAATCACCGACATATCCATGACATATCCATTACACCCAGGGATTTTCTGATGGTTATATACGTATATAATATATATATATATGGGGGCTATGGGTATGTTAGGGAGGCTATATGACTATTATTATATTTTTAGATTGGGATATGGGATGATGCCTTGGAGTCGCTGAGGCGTCCGTGGACGACGCCGCGGTGGCGCCCGTCCAGTACGAGGCGCAAAACTTGGAGGTGCCCGTGGTCATCGTCACCTCGGAGGCCGCGGACTTGGGAAACAATCTGGGATCAAAAGCAAGGATTTATCAAGATATATTGGTATAATATATGGGATAAACCAATGATATATGATGTTATATATGATATATGTCATTTATCAATATAATATTGGTTAATGATATATGTTATTTGGTACAATATATGATAAACCAAATAGATATATACATATATATATGGGATAATGATCAAAGTCTGGGATCAAAATTCTATGATTGTTTTTGGACCTGTTAAGTGGATTTTTATTACAGCCCATTGTGTATGGTTATTATTTATTTTGTAGATTCAATTAATGCTATTATCGTATTTCATATATATATATATGTGTGTGTGTGTTAATTGGTTTCTTTCTTATCCATTGTAGTTTATATCTCGTGTTGTGAATGTGGGGAAATTTGTGGGGATTTCTGGTGGTGCACACGAAGAATGCTGATATCTTTGAATGGGAAGAAATTGGAAAACATACTGGGAAAAAGACGGATAAACATTCTGGGAAAATATGAGTTTCCCAAAATTGTGATTGCAGGGGCGTCCCCATTTTGGGAGAATCCTATCTCAGTGCGTTGGTCTTGGGAGAATATGCTTACTGCCAGGTTTCCCTAAAACCACGATTTTTGCCACTTGACATAAGCTCACAACGGTATCTTAAGCTGATGTTAAGTTGACATGGATGTAGAAACCTAAGATGGAACTTCACAATTTTCGAATTGGGGGTTTCATTGGGTTCATTTGAATGTAATTCTTTGCCCGTTTCGTGTGGGAATTTCTGTGACAGATCCATCCGTGGTCGAAGAGTGGTGGACTGGCTATTGTGGCAGCCCAGCAACTGGGCGAGGCATGTTCCATGTTTTATTGTCTTGTTTTGATGTGGTTTATACTCCTTGATATTTGATTATATGTATGTTTATACATGTTTTTAATCATATATATATGTATGTAAATACCAGTTTCTATGTATTTCTATTCATCTCCTAAGTTTTGGGATGAATCGCGATTTCCAAATTTGGTGTCTTGTTTAAACATGTTTCAGATTTTGGGATGTTGACACAACCAGTTGCAACTGATTGCACAGCCAAGGTATGCCTACAACTTCGCGACTCGCGGTCATCGTACCATGGCCATTGCACCCATGTACGACAACTACGAGGGCGCCTTCTACCAATGTCAGGGAGCCCTGGGATTGCCCGATTTGGTACAGACAGTGACAGACTGGTTCGGTTTTACCATGTTTTACCCAAAGTTTAAGGGGACCGTAACTGACACTGGGATATCCACGGGTACTAAAGAACGTCCTGGTGCAACTGTGGAATCTTCGCCATCCAGGCACCAAGAGTTTTGAACTTTTCGGTGGAGTTCATGAGGTGCCCACGGACAGTTTTTGTATGATGGGTGAACATGGTGAGGAGTTGTGGGTCGTTTTTGGTCATTGGCATTGGATTAGTTTTGCTCAACCCTACTTTTGGATCCATGACCTATGCCCGTATTCTCAATGTCTTGAAGCGACTTTTGCCGCGCCAGGTACGTTATTTTCACCACTTTCAGAGCTACGGTGAAGGTAGCTGCCCCTGGTTCGAGGTGTATTTTGCAAGTGTTTTGAGCTGAATTTCATCCGCTCAAAACATGTGAAAAACACATGGAAAAAACAGAAGCTAATGGCAGCTGATTGGATTTGGTGGAAAAAACGCTAAGAACACAGTTACAACACATCGTCTTTTCCTTGATGCAAGACCCGATCTGACCCCTCTCCAAGGCAAAGGTTGCGACTACGTCTTTGTGGACCATCCATCCTTCAGAAGGTCCCAAATCACTGGAATCACTGGAAATTTGGAAATAGTGGTCCAAAGTTTTGCCAATCTGGGAATTTGCTCGAGGCCTGGAGGGCTTTACCACAATCTCACAGACAACCAGGACAGCTACGGACAGTTTTGGCGTCAAGAAAAATGGAAAGACATGGGGATAGCCCCAATTCTGCCATTTTTTCATGGTGAAATTCGGTGATGACTGTGGGGTATCCCAGCAAATCTCTTCCGCAGGAATACTCCGACAACCTCTTCAGGCCGATTCTTGGAATTCCCATTGGAAAGCATGTGCATTCCATGCCATGATTATCATAAATTGTAGAATCAGAATGGATTTTAATGCAAATGTGGTGAATGGATTTTTATCATGAATGGATTTATCATACCATATCATAATTCCATACCAATGATTCTTGGATTATCATGAATTGTTGGTACAGAATTAGAACCATCATGAACATTCATGAACCATCTACAATCTGCAATCGTTGTTACCCATGTTGCCATGGAGAAATCCCACCGGGTCATGGCAACCCACCTTTTTTTACCGCTCCAAACCTATCATCCGCAGTATTCCTGGTAGATAGCCATAGTTACTATTGTAGCATAGTATAGTCGTTATTATGCCATGGTAGTTAGTGGCAGTTACTATTATGTTAAATCATATATCATTATAGATATTATAGCATAGGAAATGCCATGATGCCATGATTGCCAGAAATAGTTGTTAGATAACCATAATAGCTACCATTGTCGTTGCCATAAGCATAATACCATGCCATCTAAATGCCATGATTCCATAGTGCGCCATCATCCAAAACAATTTGTCAATACAATTACCGATATGAAACCATGGATTATATGATCCATATTTCACACCAACTGACCATTGTTACATAAATCCATGTCGATGGAAAAAAAGAGCATGGTATATAATGTGGTACAATGCCATAAACCATCCCCCAAATCATCACCAAATAGGTGGTATATATAAACCATTCCCATGGATAGTTTATAACATTTTATAACCACATTAGACGGG